ACCCTTGAAAGAAGTCAGGACATTTCTGAGGGTTTTTTTTGTTTGTGTGTGTGAAGAAAACAAACAAACAAAAAAACAACCTGGTGCCTATTGAGAGCCCAGGTCAAGAAGTCTGTTTTACTTGTTATCTCCCATGAACTCAGAATCCAGCAACAGTTCAAAAAAGGTCTTAGTCTGGAAACCAGCAGGGTGAGCAGTACACAGTCCACTTTTAAAAGGACTAGGGGATGTGACACTAGAGCTCAAGTATCAAAAGTGGCCCAGGGAGAAAGCCACTGTGTTTGACAGGCCCAGCCTGGTGAGCCTTTAAGCAGATCAAGCAAATGTACCTATGCTGGCAGGAAAGGGTGCAAACATTAGTGAAAGCTAACGAAGACTGACCCTGCAGTTGGCCTGTACTAAAGCCAAGGACTTCTACTACAGGTCTGTTGCATTTTCCTTACAGTTCCAGGCATTCTAGCACTGATTTTTCCTTCTGGTCTTAAGGGCAGTTTGGGGCTTGTATCTTTGGTATCAACAAAGCAATACAGAGACTCAAAACCAGCCTACTCAATCTGCAGGTAATTGATCTCCTTATAAGATACTGTTACTCAGGGAAGGTTATGCTTCTCTCTAGTTTTGTCTAGAAATTCCCTCCAGGAAATGGAAACTACGAGTAATACATCTGTTTTCAACAAAGAGCTGTAGTTTTGAATTGATGTATCCTGAGAAAAAAAAGTTTTGCTTTGAAATTACTGCTGATTTCTTTGGGAAATAATTATTAACTATGATCACAAAGAAGTAGAATAGCATTCTTCTTTTTATGCCCATGAAGACTGTCACTTAAAACCAGTGCCCACTGCTGCAGGTCTTAAAAGAACTTCAGTCTCATTCTTAACCCAGACCAGTATTATGGAAAGCTGTACTTCTGCAAACTACACAGTTCAGCCTCCCTGAAAAGTTTGCCAGCCTTTACAGATTTACCCATGACAAAGCAAAACAGTTGCCAAGCCTGAATTTATACAGCTAAATAAATCACTTTTCAAGTGTTTAAATATCATTGTGAGCGTGAAAAGATGAAATGTGCTGTATATCATCTCTCCAAAACCAGAAGGAGTTATATTATAAATAAACAGAGTTTGCTTGGTATTAGGGACATAGGAAATTCCATTCAAGAACAGACAAATGGCACATCTTGTCTGGTATCCTGCATCTGGCACAGGCCTGTAGCAGATGCTTAAAATATTTGGCTCTCTTGGTTCCAGTCTCCTCCGTTCCACCTACCACCAATGTTATAAATCACACAGTTTTGCTAACTGCTGGTGTGAGTCTCTTTCCTGCTCACTTGTATAACGTGGGAGTCGGAAGCACAGGCCAGATAACTGCATATCTGCCCTGTGTGATAGTTATAACTGTGGCGGGTGCTGAACCTTGGCCGATCTGTGACTCTGCCTGTTTCAGAGCATATATGGTATTACTGCCTGCATTGCCTAAGTATCCAAACCAAGGGGCACACAAGTAAGGACTATGCTTGGCTCCAGAGAAAGGGGAGGAAATCCTCTCTCTTATCTGCCCATAGCTAGCAAGCATACTCATCATTTCTAGGCTGTCATTAATTGACCGCCCTCTTACTGTAAAGGCATTGCCACCTAATTGCACTTAGAATCACAGAATCATAGAATCACAAGGTTGGAAACGACCTATAAGATCATCCAGTCCAACCGTCTCTTCATCACCATTGCCACCACAAGCACTAAACCACATCACGCAGCACGTCATCCAGACGCCTCTTGAACACTGCCAGGGATGGCGACTCCACCACCTCCCTGGGCAGCCATTCCAGTGCCTGACCACCCTTTGAGAGAAAAGGTTTCTCCTAATGTCCAACCTAAACCTCCTCTGCTATAACTTCTGGCCGTTTCCTCGGGTCCTACTATTTGCCTAGGAGAAGAGGCCAGACCCTTTTGCACCACAACCTCCCTTCAGGAAGTTGTAGAGTGCAATGAGGTCTCCCCTGAGCCTCCTCTTCTCCAGACTGAACAATCCCAGCTCCCTCAGCCGCTCCTCATAAGACTTGTGCTCCAGACCCCTCACCAGTTTCGTTGCCCTTCTCTGGACATGCTCCAGGACCTCAACATCTTTCCTGTAGTGAGGAGCCCAAAACTGAACACAGTACTCAAGATGCAGCCTCACCATTGCTGAGTAGAGGGGGCTGATCACCTCCCTGCTCCTGCTGGCCACACTATTTCTAATGCAGGCCAGGATGCCGTTGGCCCTCTTGGCCACCTGAGCACACTGTCGGCTCATGTTCAGCCGAGCATCAACCAACACCCCCAGGTCCTTCTCTTCTTCACACTCATCCAACCACTCGTCCCAAGCCTACAACGCTGCATGGGGTTGTTGTGACCAAAGTGCAGGACCCGACACTTGGCCTTGTTGAACCTCATCCCATTCACCTCAGCCCAGCAGTCCAGCCTGTCTAAATCCCTCTGAAGGGCCGCCCTACCTTCAGGCAGATCGACACCACCTCCCAGCTTGGTGTCATCTGCAAACTTGCTGAGGGTGCACTCAATCCCCTCATCTAGGTCATCAATAAAGATATTACACAGGATGGGCCCCAGTACCAACCCCTGGGGGAGTGCCGACCACTGGGGAAACTTAATGCATGATGACCAAAAATTAGATTAGGTTAGTGTCTATCCAGCAGAGTTTGCTTTTGTTCTGTCTTTATTGCAGTGGTTATCAAAATACAGTTCACCAAACAAGCATCTCACCTAACTCAGAATTCTCTCTTTAGAAGCCTTGTTCTTCTAGATGTTGTCACTGGTATATGTATGCATCTGAAAAAATACTTGTGGAACTCATCCCTACCAGAAATATGCTTCCCAAAATTTCCCTTCATTTTCCACAGTCTTGTTCACAACCAACATAAATTCAATGTCACAAACTGTTTAAGACCTCTAAAAACAAACAAACAAAACCAAAAACAAAAGCAAGACGACAAAAAAAACAACCCAAACCTTTCAATTTGAAGTTTGGTGTTGTTTTTTTTTTTTTTTTTTTTTTTTTTGTTAATTACATAGCACCTACTTTGTGTTCACCTGTGAGATAAAGAGGGTTTTTTTTAAAAAAGGCTAAGGAGAATTTATGACTGTGTAACTTCCAGTTGTGATTCTTTCATGTCATCTTACAAAAGCAACAGGAAGAGAGTGGGAGCTGTAGAAATTATAGCCTCAAGTCTAGGCTATATTATTCAAAAACAGAAATTTAGTGTCCCTGAATTTGAGCATATTTTCTCCACAGTTGCTGAGCACTGCTGTTCTTAAGGAATATCGTAAGAATCTTTATATATTAATAAGGGAAAATTTAATCCTGATGGTGCACCCAGACTGTTAGGTATCATTTCAGCTGTTGGCATTCTCCAAGCTCAAAGATTATCCGATTTTGGCTCCATCCTACCAAACATAATTTTCAGTGTCAAAGGTGTAAATCTAGACCAGACCTTTGATCCAGCAACCCCAAATGTGTGCCTGTCTCAGCCACAAACCACGGACTTTGCACTGCCAATCTTCCTGAAAGAACTGAACACATTAAAGCTATCAAGCAGCAGTTTGCATCCTTTAACCTGCTCCAAATCAAATATGCATTTGGAAACAGCTGGGCTCAATACTAGCAGGAGCTCCGTGACTTTCTGCACTTCTCCTGTTGTACAACAAGAGTCACTTCTAGAATATCCGTCTTGCTTCACTCAGGAACAGAAGTAGAGTTTTTTAAGGCAGACGAATGAGTCAGCCACTTGCTCCAAATAAATGGTAATGGTGTTCCAAGTTTCCTAGACAGCTTAAAAAACTACATAGAGAAATTCAGCTGCTTGATATATTGGGTTATGCACCGCACATTTAAGACAACACAAAATCATATGCTTTTTAATCCAGATAAAAGTTGCTTTACTCGCAGCAGTCCAAAGCCACCTCATTTTGTCTCTGTCCTCTACTTACATGCCGGTCGCCTTGTTTGTGCTATTCTCAGGAGCAAAAGCAGCACCCTTTATAGTTAAGAAAAGCATCTGAGGCTCCCAGGCTGCCACAGACATGCTAAACAATACTAAGAATATCAGTGATTGTGGTTGCATATGTCCATTTGTATAACAAGAATGTTAATACTTTTCTTTCTGAAGATATGTAATCCTCAACTAATATAATATGACAAACAGGGCATGAATTAAAACTTTAAAAGTACAGTAAAATAGACTATCTATTTGGAAAAATAATTGTAAAGCGATATATAAAACTACAAAAATAATTTCTTTACTTTAAAATTTGCCTTAACCAGAAACATAACTCCTTCCTGCCTCAAGAAAGCTGAATACACTGACTCATGTCTTTAAGTGTCATGGCAAATTTGTTCTTTTATAATGTGCAGTAGTCTAGCTTTGAACTTTTGATTTTTGGAAAAGGCAGAGCGGAAAAATGTTTTCATGGGAGAGGAGTGCACATTCCAGAACTGTCGACTGTTATTCGTTTATGAGGGGGGAGAAAAAAAATCTGCTTAGATTTTAGGGTTTGGTTGATGCAATTTGTTGTTTTCTGCTGTTGGTTTTGTGTCACTCTACAGTGAAAGATTCCAGTTTTCACCCTCATTTTTCCAGCTTTCACTTCTTCAAATCTTTGAATAGTTATTATTTATATACAAAGTAGTCCACAGAGAAAATAACTTACAGCTTTCTGTGAATTACAGAGCTACACACAAGCATCATGGGGGAATGCAGACAAATTTTACTCATAAAAATGAAATGAAAGAAAATGTGAGCCCTTCATGGTGTCTTTGTAACCTGAGCAACAGTTTTAAACACAATTTTCTCTGCTGTCTCCTGTTTAACTTTTGATTACTTCAAAAAATAATAAAATAGAAAAATAAATTTTCTGTAGTTTATTTATTCAACTACAGTAAAAAATATTTCTCTGATGTTCTGAATATTTTGAAGATTATTAACATACATGCTTTCTTTCCTTCTTTTCCAGAAACAGAAGAAAGTGCAGACAGCTAGAGCCTTTCTCATTTGATACTCAGCACTATTATGTTCTCTTCATTGCCGGATGTCAAGTCTCAATATCAGAACAGCTTCAGTGAAGTACTCTCCTCCTAAGCCAAGGTAATTTTCTTCCTAACAACTTGTTTTTAAGCATTACGGAAGTCTTCTGTTCCCTGACAATGCCAATAAAACTTTTTCTGGGGAGAATATTTTGCTATGAAGTATGGCATCAGTCGTCCCAAAAGACTGGAACACTGACACTTTCACTACCAGGCAGGCAGATTTAAGCCCATCTGTTATTACAAATTTAGCAGTAATGCATTATGAGCACATGGATTTCGGTTTGGAAAGCAACTGGAAGTGTCCGTTCCTTTCCCTTCATAAACAGAATATTGACATGATAGATGCAATGTTCTGGATTCATGGCTTGTCAGAAGACAACTGTATAACCACTAGGGATATGTCAGAGACTACATTTTCTGATGCACTGGCATTAAGGGCTAAAGTCACTGAGGACACAGAGAAAAGTCTAATACTGGAACAATTAACAAGTCTTTCAAAGTTTCATTTCCTTTGGAAAATTGTTGGCTTTGAAAAAAGTCTATCTTGTCAGAAGTTCTAAGACAAAAGGAAGAAGCTACATGAAAGTACCTGTCCTAAGCCAGATGAGGAGAAAACTCCTTCATGCCCAAAGCCAGCTGTCAGCATATTCTTTGGGGAGAGAGATCATCTGCTTCTCAGGCACTTGCATACTGAGATAAGGTTCTGCTTAGTGGGATGGATGTTCCTACTTCAGCTTATTTTATAAATATTATTCACTCAGCATGAAAAACTGCATTCATGAGAGCTTACCAGTCCTTGGCCAGCAGCATCACGTTTCCTCCCAAGAACACAATCGTGCAGTGTGGGACTGATGTGATCAAAGTCAGCAACAGGAACACGCAGCTTTGGGCGCAGGCTAGAAGGCATCAGTTCACTGCTCTGTATTCCAAAAATAGGAGGTGGCTTCTGTTGAATCTTATCTAAGAATGCAAAGATGCAATTAGTCTTGGAACTAGAACACACAGCAAATATTTTCATAAAGATTTATACCCTCACACAGCTTCAGTGTTTCCCCTCCTTTCCTTATACATCAGTAGTCAAGACACTGGTAGGATTCTCTCTGTTGCCCTGGTAGAAATCTGCATCTTTCATAATGTAAGATGTAGTTTGTACCTTCTTTCCCTCCCCGCAGTTGAAAAACTAAGAAGTTTCTAGTAATGCACACCAATGTAGCTGAATTGTGGTAACCTGAGTCAGAAAAAAAAATACTATTCGTTTAGATAATTAATTGTTTTAAGTAATGTTCAAGTAAATGTGATACTGTATCAATACCAGCACAGAAAAGAAAAAAAAAAAGGAAAAATACAGATGTAGGTGCACAGGGAGATTCTTATTAGTATCTCCAACAAAGTTGCCTCAGGCTCCACATTTGCTTTCAAAGCAATGAAATTCTATTACAGGGCAGTAACCAACGTGGCACATAATTTTTTGAGGTCATTTAAAGCTTGCCTGTTAAGCAAACATTACTCTGAATTGTATTCCAAGGACTCATATTTCCTGTATACTTGCAGCAATTTTTTGTCCTATCTGTCTCCTAAACTATCATTTTGAACCACTGACAAACTGTTTACCTAAAACTTTCTTTTCATTGCCTTTCTGTTATTAATATTCCTTAAGTTACTTTTCAGCTTCCACTCAAGGCTTGCTGCAATAGTTTTTTATTTTTGTGAAGTCCACTCTACTTTACCATGGATCTCAATTGAACTAGAATGCACATAATACTATGTGAACTGTAAAAGACAATATAACTTAACTTACCCAAAATAGGTTGAATCAGGAGTTTTAAGAATAATCCAAATCATATTTTTATTAGCTAGTAGAGCCAATAAGCCATTGAAGCTCTGTATTCTTTTTCCCACGTGGCACAGAATACACTAATTTCACTATCCATAGCAAATTGTAAAAATCCCGGTAAAACAAAATGCATTTTCGTACTTTTATCAATTTTTACGACCTTCTTAGCACTCAGTAGAAAACTTGAAGGACTTTATACTAAGCAGTATTATTTACGGAGAAGTGTTTATTGCTGATATTCTTCAGCTGAAATATATGCACTTGCATGCTTGCATATATTTATGTATGAAATCATATGTGTTTTTAGTAAAGTTTGATGTTAAATATTTTAGACCAGCTTACAGTTTTTAGTAATGCAAATGGAGAGGCAAGTTATTCAACATCCATGAACACGTCAGTTTAAATACAATAGGAAATTTCTTATAATGCCACCTGCTTGCATGTGTCTTTATAGAACTTGTATTTAGAATCAGTCTGTCAGCAGAATATAAATCTTTGTCTTTTTGTTGTTGTTGTACTAGGTTTCTTTTTACTGCTGACTACAAAGGCTTATTTATCAACATAAGTGGAAGTTATATATACATATACCAATATAAGTGGCAGCCAGTGTATAAACAGAGTGAATAGCCACGATTCAAGGCATTCCTTTTTTTAAGCATTATCATTTTATTTAAGTATCCAAAGGCCTTGCAGGCAAGAAATTAGTCCCCGTCTTGTGAGATGGAAATATTGCTCACCTCTCTTTGCAAAACCACAGGCAATGAAATCCAAGTGATTAAGCCAAAGCTAAATGCTTTCCTCATCTCAAAAAGGTGGCACCATGCAGTTCAGCTGAGTTGTGGCCACCTGGAAAAGGGAAGAATTTGGCCACCTATACCTGAAAAGAGACATTTTAAACTTGTTCTAGCCAGAGCACAGGTTCTGCTAAGCTGAATGATTTCACAACGCTGAGTTATTTCCCACGTTTCTTTGTTGCTCCAATAAAGTAAAAAAATGCAGGAACTGCAAAGTCATATGATCCATGGAAGAGAGAATAATGTGGTTTCTAAGAAAAATATTTATTACCAAGCAAGCTGTATTGATTTATTAAATGACAGCTTCCCATCAGAGTGTTTGTTTATATGTGCTTGAAACCACAATGGTTATATAAAGCCAGGACATTATTTGTTTAAAGGCATCCACTTGTGTTTTTCTTAATAGAAATATCAGTACATGACAATGCCAGGTTTGCAGAAGCTTATCCAGGAATAAACTCCTGAAAAATTATTTTTTTCCTAGAGCATCCACTAAGCCAGTGCAGGCACTGTGTCTCATTGCTAGTCTTCTAACATAAGATTTATAGGATGTTATAATTAACAACAGGTGGCAGGGAGCACTGTGTGCACGGCAAACAAACTGAAAAGACTAGCAGCTCAGGAGACACTTATGAATCATCAAAACTTTTCCCTGGATAAACTCAAGTAGTAATCTTGGTAGGTTTTATTGCTTTCTTTTTTTTTTTTTTCTTTTTTTCTTTTTTTTTTTTTTAATTTTCTCACTCCCCACTCCCTTTTCCTTTTTTATGTCAGAGATTAAAGACAACTTTCTATATCCTAACACATTTGTCCTTACATTACTTATCTTTTCTAGTTTTATGCTTACCTATCCATGAAGTCAGATGAATTACACTTCCCTATCACTGAGCACTTCTTGGAGAACTACAGACAAGTCCATGCACAAAATTTTTAAATGATACAGTTTTTTTGTCTCCAATTTTCCAGCTGTCTCAAACTCACATTCCGCACAAAAGAAACCATACAAAAAAATAAAAAGTTCCATTCAAGATACACACAGCCTCCACCTCAGTTTCAACAACACCAGGTTTTCAGTTCAGGACTGAGAAAAGAGGGAGGAAAACACTGAGATGCGTGTGTATAGGAACTGTTGAGTCATGGCCTGAACCACTAATTGATCACTTGAGGCAAGGACTGGGTCAGCTGTAGGAGCACAAGTGAAGGCAATTCACCTGTGTGACCGGCCAGGCTCCACCCCTCCTAGATCCCATTTAAGGGCTGACTCCTGGGAAGGATCTCCTTCTGGAGATCTCTCCTTTTTGGTGTTTTTCGCTGCATGTCGAGATTCTTGGATATGGTTGAGCATTTCTTTTTTAATTGTCTCATTTCCACCATAATAATCTTTACAACTAGAACATCTGTAAAGTACCATCCTAACCGTACCACTCTTCCAACTGTACATTTGTTGACTGTGTACATGCGAGTGGGCAAAACAAAAATATGTCCTAAATTAATTGTAGTCTGTGCAGTTAAACAAGTGCTATTCTTTTTCCATTGTTATTTCTGATGTGAAAATGAAAGTGAAGGATGGAATGCTGGGAAGGGCTTTATTGACTCAATCAAAGGAGGATTCATCTCACATCTACCAACTGATCCAACTTTCAAGAGTCATTTCCAATGTACTAACCCAAGGAGGATAAGACATTCACAAGATAATCATATGCTGTAACATAATGATTATAGTGAGGTACTTGCATTTGGCTTTCTTTTTTTTTTTTTAATAAGAAAAACAATGTTTTGGGTAATTGGCTATATATTCTCACTGAGCAGAAAATACTTTAAATGCATTGACTCGTAGGAAAATATAAATAGGAATGTTCAAACAAATGGGAAAAAAAAAACCAACAACAGTATTTATACTATAGAAGGGATTTGAGACTTTTACTGAGACATTCCACATTCTTGCCAATATAGTTCCCTCACTTCCTCTACAAATAACTCTGATGCATGAGATTAGTTTCTACTAAAGCCTTTTTAGGGTGTTTCTTCCCTTTCCTTACCTCCTGCCCTCCGCCCCCAAGTACAGTTCAGTCGTTAACCTTAGAGTTCTTAGCATTACTGCACTAGAGAGTAATGACGATTCTTGGTTTTTGCTACCAGGCTGCCAACATGAACACAGGGTGGTAAAAGTGTGAGTACTTTACAGCATAGGGAACTAAAACTCTTCACATTAACTGCAGAAGTACATATATTTTTCCTGAACATATGGAACCATTTTACCCCAGGGCTGGATATTAATTAGTACTTGGGATAATCTAGGCTGTGACAATGCTACATAGGTGTGCATTTACTAATGTATTTACATACATTTCCATAATGGAAAGTGATCAGTTTTAGTGAGTATGCTTTATAATTCTACAATTGGACTACATCTCTCAAATCCGCCAGCAG